TAACTAGTTTCATGGTGCACTTTAAACTTTTAAAGTACGAAGCGATACTATAAGGATGGATATCGGTTATTGAAACTGGTTCCCCTTAGCGAATGCCAGAAATTGATTGGTTCTCCTACAAAAGCAGTTGCGTGACCGACGACGGTAGTGAATCACAAGAGACAACCGCAAACAATTCCAAAGTTCAAGGAGTTTACACAGAATTGGAACACTGACAACGACGCGACGTCCCACGGAAGTTGAAAGTTCGTGCATATTAATATGAATTTCTGCTTCACGATTGTGAAACTTTGAGTTTGACAGCAGAAGACATTCATCATCTACAAGTTTTTGATAATTGATGCTTACTGAGTTTTTCGCATGGGAGGAGGGAGACCTAGAGATGAGTGGTCGTGTGTTTCGAAAAATTCAATGGTTACATCCAACTGAGGTTAGAATGATTCGCTGATTAGGAGATGTGTTGTGCATATTTACGGCCGTCTAATCGACAATACCTTATATTGAGTTGCCGCTCCGGGTTCAAAAAACGACCTAGAGGTTAACAGATAACTTTGAAGTGAACAAAACGATTAAGCGGAATGAGTATCTCCCTTCGTCCAGGTTTGGATGTATGAAGACTCGGGAACTGGTTGGTTGAAGACACGGACAGCAGTGGCTTTCCTGATGTCATTTTTTGTCAGGTCAAAATGTCTTGAAGAGTGCTTAATGCATAGTTCAACTGAAGAGGCTTGCGATGATTGGACATTGACAATAAACTCGCCTGTCCCGTAGAGCAATATCCTTGTGCATTCCCGTTTTGCGCATATTAAATACGGCTTTCTTGTTGTTGTTGAGTGTTGCGTTCTGTTGGTCTGGATTATTACTGGGTGGTGTTTGATCCGTACACTTGTCACTAATCCTAGTACGAACAATAACAAGATCTTCCTCCATGCATAACCAGTACATTCCTCTTCCCCCTTGCGTATTTCTTGCTTAATGTGTCTTGTGAGTTTGACAGCCTTCAAAGAATTTCGCTTTGTTATATATCAATGTACAATGATGATAGATTATAATGATGATACTGTCATTTTTAGTGACACCAACTCGGAGACATCATGCTCTTTATCAACTGTAATCGCATTCCAAGTAACGGTATGTTGCAATTAACCAGGCCACCCATTTTGATGGTTTGAAAAAGAAAAAAACCATCAACTTGTCATGTGGCTATTCATCTTACTCATACGTTTTTACTCACATGTGCTCAAATGCGAAAACCGTTCATGGTGTGCTGTTCTCATGTCAGTCGTAACCCGCGTATTGTTCCGTAATCGTCGACCTCGCTTGGCATATTTTACCTGAGCCGATTTGGCTATCTCAAAAGTGCTTAATCAGTGTCCGTGGTGTAGATAAATACACAGACACCCATGCAAGGATCTGAGGAATATTGTGTGTGCCTGTGCATCCAATTTGAGTTCCATACTATTTTCCTTGAAAAGCTGTGTCAAATCGATTCCGAACATTGTGTCGAGCCTATTCAGAAGTCAAAATGATTGATGGTTGTCATGCAATTTTGGCTGTTGTGTTTTTGATAGTGAGTAAACTGCGCACTTCTCGCTTTACTGACGCTCAGTAACTTCATGGTCCCCGCCTTATGGCGTAAAAAGAGGAGAAAATGTATAGAAATCCTATTTCGTTGTATGACCTCAGCAGAAAGGATCTCAGATTATCACTCTTGAGCCACAGCTTTCGGTTTTGTGATATCAAGAGAAATTTGTGGTACAGAAGAACACACTGTGATCCACTAGTTCTCGTGGTGTCGAAATGACGACGGCATATGAATGTATTCGAGTTCACGAAAGGCAGACACCGTGACGCGACGAGCAAACGCAT